CTTGTCGACATGCATTTCCGACCACAGGTTGCATATATCCCTGGTCGTCTTCCAGATAAGACTGCTGGCAGCCTGGCACGAGGTTACTCTTGTAAGAGGTCCTGGTCAGAAGCAGATCCGAGCATTTTCGGGGTCGCGATTTACCAAAGAATCAAAATTCTCAGATATTTCCCTCGCTTACCACGTCCGGGCACTAGATCCGCGGCCCGCACATATCTTCCTGCGACTTCAAGGGGTACAGGAACAAAGGCGACGTTTCGAGTGAGAAAAACGTACGATTTAAACATTACCCAGGAGCACTAAAAGGGCTAATTCGTCGCCGTTTTGATGCTTTATCAGGCGGCGCTTATCAGGCGTCCGTCTTAAGCGTTGAGCAAGCACACAACGGCTGCCTCATCAGAGACAATGTCTCAGAATTCGTTGCGGAGTGCAAAGTTGCGATTGGTCAGCGTGCTAGTGTCCCCAAGAGACCCGCAGAAACTAAGGCTTAGCGCAGATGGGGCAGAGGTGCTTGGAAAACTTACGCTAAGTACCAACAAGTCACTACATGCCCGTTGAGCATGGCTAGAGAATGGATCACAACCGAACTCTGCCCCTGAGAACGAATGGCCTCAGGAGGTCCTGGGAACTGAGCAGCCGGACTGAATCGAGTTTCAAAAGAGAAAAGATGAAGTATTGAGCTCACCGGATGCATATTTGCTATGCGGATCGACTCCTCATGCATCTAGGATCTACTGGTGATCCTTCAGTACCGCATCTTGTAGAACAAGATTCGGCACCGCAACATCGATGGATAGGTTAAACTAGGATTGGGTATTGGGCGGCCGAACAGAGGCAGGGTTGGATTGCTGGAGGTCCTAGTGAGAGTTACCAGTCCTCTGGAAAGCTCTAGGCCGTGGCAAATCTACCACGTCAACGATTGGAGCAGTTCGTGGCCTACTCGTACAAGCAAGCAAAGGCTAAGATCCGATGCCCCTGTTACTGGGGCTTGAGGCTAGCTTCAACTTAATCCCCATGTCCCATCGTCTCGGGAGTCCAGTGTTCACTTCGAGAATCTCCAAACCTCGTTCCCTGCAACTTGGTATGGTAAGTCACAGGTAGCCCCAATGGCAAGGTTCACCTCCTGTCATGCTTCTCAACGGGCCGTTTCTTGCCACTGATGAACTTCTGCTGCCCTATGCATCTTGGAAGGGGTCAGTCTACTATTAACAAAATGGTATTCTGGTTCTGTGCTCACTTTCCATGGCTACGGCTTCGATGACATAATGATCGATGGTTCGATGTTAGCCATGTCGCCAAGGATGGAAGAAAACGCCTTGGGCTTGAAAGTCAAAAACGTGTTGTTCCGGTGAGATGTTCAGCTACCAATCTGCTAAGTTTCTCCATAATGCGAGGGTCAAATAACACAGCTGTACCTATTCATATCACCTGTGTCATGGCCAGAGTCATGAACAGTACTCAAAGATACAATGAACCGGAATTATTGTCGAACGTGCATGGCTCAAGGATCATGGGCGAATCGAGCTACATGCATGCCAACAACGAGACTGGTCAGCGTAGAGGCCCAAAATGGGCTCTTGAACGGGGAACAGGGGGCATCTTGTTTCTCATCTGGTCGAATAAGGCCAGAAGCGGATCCATTCAACACGTGGCCAGCGAGTCTTGGCGGTGCTTGCTATTCCTTTCTAGGATTGCATGCTACCTTAGCGCCTAGCCCTGTAGGTGCTGCGTTGTCTCTGGGGGAGGCTTGCTATGAGGCCGGCCGTGGTCAATTCGGACGCTGATATCAAGCAGAAAGCTCAGGAGTCCGCCTGTGCTGAAAAAGCAAGTCGAATAAAGAGCAAAGAGCTCTGATTAAAGGCAGTCATGCATGTGGCATGCCTACAATAACCTAGCAGCAGTTCACAAGTCCAAACAACCGACGCAATACGCCGTCGGTGACCTAGCTGCTGGGGTCAAGCTTATCAGACTCTGAATCATCACGTAACGACACTTGTGGTAGTGGTAGAATCTCTAGGCTAAAGGAAGCTCTTGTCACCTAGTGGGGACTGAGTAGAGCCAAAAAGCAGACCAATTGACCAGCGCCCACTGCATAGGTAGGTTGGTATCTTTCACTCCTCCGGGGATAACAGTTTTTCGTGGGCCTCGACCAAGCTCTCGTCGATACTCCGTACATGGACTAATCACTCGTGTGCTCTAATGTATGTCATAGCGACTTGTCGCTTACCGAGCACTGCAATGGCCTCTAATTTTCATACGTGGGGGCTGATTCAAGTAACATAGGTTTCTTTTTTATTAGTTCCTATGACAGCTCTTTCTTTCAAAATGGCAGATACTTGATAATGATTACTTTTTTTTTAAGAGGCCGCCAGCCTTCGGTTCTCGAAACGCACTATTACGAATCAGTCTACAAAGCAGGACGGGAGACACTTATGCAGAAATAAGGAGTTCAAGATGATGTGTAATACAATTCAGGATATGAGACGTGAATTTGTCGCTTCTTATTAGGGACCACGAAATTCATGAAACGACAAAGAAAAGTGTTTTGTTAGCATCTGGACCGTCTTTTGTGGCTGGACAAGACATTCGAGCTTAGAGGGGGGTCCAATCTCATTTGAGCCAGCCACGATCACGGACTAAGATCCAAATCGAGAGTGCGTCAAGGGCGTTTGGATTGGTAGTGGACGACTTTCCAGGGGACTGGTGCTAGGCCCAGGAACGTGAAGAACCAAAAATCCGGCCGACCGGGTTATCGCGGGGCGGTATAATAGCGGCCAACTTGTGGGAGAGAAAGATATTCTCAAATGTATTCTCTTTCTATGGTACTATCCAGCCCCTGCCAGCTGAACATTCTGCTCTGTTGCTGTGCTGGCCTGCCTACCTATATCATGGCCATTATTATCTTGGCCGCTGTCTCCGACACCGTGGATGCGCATGGATGCGATGGTGGACATCCCGATGAATCCTACCGGAAGATCTCCCTTTGTTTCCACGGTGGGATATGATGGGTCCTTCAGGGAAACCCCTGTCTCAAGTGAAATAATTGCAAGGGGTTCGCGAGTCGTAATCACAACACCATGGACTTTGTTTACTTGAGGCAGTTTCAAATCACCACTCCCTTCGCTTTGCCTTGAAATTGTTCCGTACAGTAGTGGCACAGCGGGCATTGGGAGTAAAAGCCACCAGGTCAGCCGCCATGCCACTACCCACCCTTTACGAATGAAAGTTATCACGACAGTGACACTGGGCGTCCGGGACCTTGCAGAAATCACCCGTAGTTCTGACATGGCACGAAAACACAGAAATTGGTTGGTGAAAGACCGATGTTCAAACATAAAGAGCTTATAGACTGAGTGCTTCCGGCGTGCGGAATTCATGGCAAACCTGCGACGCAGTACGACTGACTGCGAAATTGCGGTTCCTGTCACCTGTCACTTTGATATGTTGTCCAACCTCACATGAGCTTTTCATAGATTGTTGATACTATTCTCGTTCTCGCCAGCTTCCATACCCCTCTACGTAGTATAAACACTTGCTTGCTGGCTTATCGTGGCACAAATTCTCCCTCAAACAGACACAGAGTTTTTGTTAGCTTGGTCTCCTTGTGATGGTCCACTTGAACCGGAACACCATTCCTAGAAGGGAACAAACATTTCCGTACACTACCTCTCGGCGTGAGCTTGTAGTTGATGATAGAACAAGAAATCCACCAGGGTGATACCGCCACAGATCTGTGTCTCTGGCGGCATTTTTCCTGCGACACCGGCGGTTTTGCGTGAGCTCCTCACGCCGCGTGGAGTGTTGATTGTGGGCTTTGCAGATCAGATTGTCTTCAACAAGACGCGTCAGGGGCAAGGGGCTTCGATCTCTCTGACTCAGTACTCTTGTCGTGTATCGATTCGGCAAGACAGGCCAAGAGAAGGCAAGGCAGAGTGGGAGCGAAAAGTTTTGACACTGGCGTCTCTCGCCTTGACGAAACACTTAACCACAACCTATCACGTCAATCCCCTTCTCTGTGTACGAAATTACACTCTTCCCCGCTTCACCGGGCGACGGACTCTATCGTGTCTGCCCTTGAGCCACTTGGTTCAAAATGCACCGGAGGAAACGGTGCGATGACAGGTGGCAACCGAGACATGTTCATGGGCCCGACGAATCCACGATGCTCAGTAGGTAGCCTGAGGTAAGTACTGTAGCGTGGAGACGCGCGACCGCTGAGCGCGCTTGACAGTGTTTGGTATTAGCCTGCGAAACGCCCGGTTTTCTCTTCTGGGTAGTGCAACTGGACACGAGAGGAGGGAGAACAGATTTTGATGATGCCGAGAGGTCATGTCTGAAAGGACAAAGGGTAGCCAAGAAACGTCTCAGTTGATGTGGCTTTCTGCTGGAGAGGTCTCACTCGAGAGAGCTGCCTGGGTGGAGATGGGAGTGTGAGAGGGTGCGGCACCATTGGCAACAAACAATGGTTGATCCGAGTACTGTCTTGTCTTGAACTGACAAAGACTTCACCCGGGGATCATTCCTTTGTTGCAGAGTCTCCCTTGGTACGATTGAGTGCGTGATTTCTGCACCTTGACAGAATATCTTCACTGAGTCTCATCTGCAAGTCGCCAGTTGTGTCGCTTTGGCGTGTCGATCATCATGTGCCAGATCGTGATTAGGATCTCCATGTCCATCCCCATACAGCAGTATCCAGGGAGCGACAAAGGAAATGAGATCAAGAAACAAGTACCGAGGGAGAGGAAGAGTGATGATGTCAAGATGCCCTTTTCAGGGCGATCATCTCTCGCCTATCTCTATTCCAGGGAACGATCCCAGTCTCATCTTTGGATCTATTGACTAAATGTTCCATCGTCATGATGAAATTAAGTGGTTTTTCTACGTCTCCCTCACGGCTCCATATCCCTCACCCTCCCTCACACACACGCACTCACCCATTCACTCTCGCCCACCACAGTTCCACCATGAGCTCCGCTGATACACGCAATGCCGAGGCTCGATTAGATTCGGAGCGCATTCGAAATCTCGATAGTCACCTTTCCGCCCTCGCTCCGAAGCACCTTGACTGAGGAGAGGTCTCGAACGACCCAGTCTGGTTCTGCAGCAATGACCTGCTCGACGGTATGGCTAGTTACCAGGCCGAGAACTTTGCAGCCTGCTGCTTTTCCTGCGCGGATCCCTGCTGGGCTGTCCTCGAGGACGAGGACCTGGGCGTCCTCCGCCTGCAGACCGAGACGCTCACGGCCGAGGCGGTAGCAGGCGGGGTCAGGTTTACCATTCTCAACGGATTCTGCCGTGACGAGGTGATCCGACGGCGGTGTGGGCAGGTCTCGAGCACGTAGCCATCCGGTGACGAGAGGGACGGTGCCCGATGTGACGATCGCCCATGGGCTAGATCTAACGATAAGTGCTTCTAGCATGGAACGGGCGCCAGGTATTTCGACAGCCTCGTGGCCGTGGTACTTTGGAAGACGTCCTTCCATGTCACGTACATCTGGGAAGTGATCAGCGGTCGCTCGGTCCAGCTAGCTATGATAGTCTAGTTGCATGGGGGCAAGCCCAGCCTCGCCAGCACATACATGGCCGCCAGGCTATATCCTCAAGTGAGGTTTTGCGTCTGACATGTCCATGCATATTCATGGGTTTGTGGGCTTTGCCATGCTTGCCGTGGCTGGGGCGTTTCTTTTGTCACCTACAATCCCAGTTCGCCTTTTCAGGTGCGAGAATCTTGAGAATGTCGATGCTTCGTCGTCCATGAGAAGTCTCGAGGATAACTTCGGGGGCAACGCCTATCTCGTTCCCAATTCTTTGCTCGGTTAGTCACTCGAACTGGCCGCGTAAGACGTGAGGAGGGTGCGGCTGCACTTACGTTTCCCAGTGCTTTACTACTGCTTCCGTGGAGTCAATAATAGTACCGTCCATGTCGAAGAGGAACCCGTCAAATGTAAGCTCCTGCGGGGGCAGGTTGTAGTCCGGAGTTGATCCCATTGTATCCTATGAGTAGTATCTGAGTGAATGTGGTGGTAGCTGCAGAGTCTGACAGGATGAAATTGAGGTATTTTTGATGTTTTTCTTATCCCAAAGATGCAATGGACTTTGGTAGTCTAACTTGCATGTCTTTTTCAAGGTGTTGTTTGATTTGTATAATATGAAAAAGTTTGCGATTGCTCTGATGTTAGGTGTTTATAAAGGATGAATTCAAGCTGTGACTTGGTGGTTGTCTGTTTTAGGTAACTCCGCATGGAGGGGCCAAGTGGGGAGTCTATCAGGAAACATGAGTATATGAAATAGACGACGGAATATTATTACAACTTTTGTTTTTATTGTTGATGAATAAATACTCAACTCGGTATCATCCTTTCAGTTTCACCTGAATTGCCCCTACAGCTGGATTGTATTCCATTACCTGCACCCAAGTACTCCAATAGCCTCTGGTTAACCATTTGACTCTTGTAAATGTTGAATGTTTAATTCACCATCAAACAACAGAATACAGCAGAAAAGAGATATAATTATTGAAAAACCATTAAACTTATTACTCCTAGTTATAAACCAAGACCAATAATTAATAAATAACATGGATATGGTCACAATTGACCAACGTATTCGATTCTGATACTGTCGCTACCCTATACCTACACCAAACTTGGTGGCCTGCTTGTCTTGGCAACGAATCAACGTCAAATGCCACTATGTCATTGGCCCAACCGTTCCCGTTGAAGAAATTAATCGTGCTACTCCGTATAGCTTCCGTTATTCCTCGGCCAAGAATCCGTCAGAGGAAGAAAGAGAAAACAGTAAGCGGGATATTAATAGGAACAAGAAACCAACGTCAGCCTGAGTCTGACTTAGGGTTCGACAGGCAAACTTTACCCTTTTTATCTGTGTCTTCTCACTCAGCTTACCAGTACATGGAGGGCTATTAGGTATCTATAGGTTGGTAACTTGATGATCCTGCTATCCCCACTAGTATATCAATGAGACCAGATTCTCCTCCCTCTCTTTATCTTTCCCTGTGCTAGGTTATTGTGCCATCGATATAGTCTTAACACATAATGGGTTCGCAAATTGGAGATCCCGATGAGATTACTGTGCTTGTCACAGGTTTTGGTGTATGTTTTTGCTCTCCCTCATATTAAGCGCCATTTGCTTGCTTGACCACCCCGCTCGACGTCACACAACACTGCAAAGCTCTTGATCGTGATGTGGTACCTGGGCCGGGATACGCAGCGTGGTGTGAGTTGTGTAACTATTGCTAACTCGCAGATGCTATAGCCGTTCAGGGAACAGTATCCCGTTAACCCCTCATGGGAAATCGCCAATAGCTTGCCTTCATATCTTCCTCCGCTACGAGCCAAGGACCCTAACTCGAGGCATGCGGCTGTTGTTCCACCAAAGGTACGCATCGTGGTGCACCCTGAGGCTATCCGTGTCAACTACAGGGTTGTGAGAGGCCTTGTGCCATCGTTCTATGACACGCCGCAGAAGTTTGACATTGTCATGCACATCGGAATGGCTGGTCCTCGACCATTCTATTCTATCGAGAGGAGAGGTCATCGTGATGGATACAAGCATCCGGATGTCGACGGTGAATACATAGACGGGGAGGAAGAGAGAGAAAGGATTGATTGGCCGTGGCGAGGCCTTCCAGAGGAGATTGAGACGGAGTTGAATCTCGATGAGATACTTCCTCTGTGGCAGGGGCATAGTTCGGTAAGTTGAGCAGATCCGAGACTATGTTGATACTGACAGGAATCATAGGAGGCGGATCTGCGCATATCCGAAGATGCAGGTCACTTTTTGTGCGACTTTATCTACTACTCGAGTCTCTCTGAGCTTTGGAAGCTGCAGAGACCTAGAAAGACGCTGTTTCTTCATGTCCCAGCCGATGCTTCGCCTACAAGTGTTGTGAAGGGAAGGGAGCTGATGTTGAACCTAATCCGATCTGTCGTTGAGAGCGAGATGATCGAGAAGAATAAACTTCTGGGGAGTAAGGCTGCTGGTGAGGAATTGTGATGTGGTTTTCAAGGCAGAGTATAGGGCATGTGAGATGGATCATTAACAGGAGTTGTCATCATTTCATTATTATATGAATCTCTATGAGTGTTTTTTAGTTAATCAAGTCTGGAGAATCGTGCACTCGAAATATAAATTTGAGAGTATGTTATGGTTTTGAATGATCATGACATCACACGCCGAGGTTTCAGTATTCCAAGAGTTTCTCTCATGAACGAAGCGCATCTAATGATTGTGATCTGACCCATCCAAATGCCGATTGGTTTACAAAACACTTTCTATTATCGGTGACGAATCATTGGCTCTGGCTTAGTTATCGCCGTGTCCGGAGATGCTGTAAGTGGAAAACCTCCATTCTCCATTCCTCTCCACTTGTGACCCCGAGGAGCCGATATGGACTCCTCTTCCACAACTCACTCGATATCCATCAAGTCAGAATTCTCAGCTCCTAAAATGTGTAAAAAGGCTACCTGCGGAACCTGCAGTAAGTCCACCTATCCAATCTCAAGAGTATAGTACTGAAAAGCCTACAGAGAAGACCTCCTGGTGGGGTTGCGGCAGCCATATTCAGTCCGTTATTGATAATGTTCCTGAGGTTGAGCGCTGCGAGTGCGAGCCCAAGGTTGACGTCGGCGGTGTTTCATACCCGCCTATGGCTGCGTCTCCAAACTGACTCATCGAGAAAGCTGCGGCTCTGGTTCTTTGGACGCGTGGCAAGAAAGCGACGTGGTCACCCACTGGTGTTGTGGAGGAGCCGTTGTAGTATTCATGATGTGAGGCGATTATGGGAGATCATGGGTTGGCGTGCGTGGCGTTGGGTTGACTCAGGAAGTAGGGTTGGCGGTTGGTGATTACATGAATAAGAAACTATTAGCAAATACTTGAGCCCATCATTTCTCATTGTTGTGAATTGGCACCGTGCTGTATTATTTGGACAATGGTTCTCAGCATACAGGATCTCTCACGTGGCCAAGCTCTAACACAAGATACAGGCCACGTTACCGAGCTATACAAACATATGCCAAACTTTATGCTTGGTCTGCTTAAGAAGAAGTAGATCAATGGGAGAAAGAAAGGCGCGATTGCATAAAATTAGAAGAGGAGGCCATCACGAGGGCGTAGAAGAGGGTCTCACATTGATATATAGCGTTAGAGAATACTACCACGTCCAACCTTGCTCTATCTCCTCCTCGCGCCACCACTGGACGCAGCATCTCCTCTCTCTGCCAAGCTTACTACCTCCTGAATACCAGCAGCCTCTTGTTCCTCCTCTAGAGCCACAATTTCCTCACGACAATCCCACCACTTCTCCTCACTGAGCTCAAAGGCCTTAGCCTTGATCTCCTTGATAGCTAGTGTCTCAGGCTGGATATTCTTCCAACGGAGACTCGTCATCAGAATCTCTTGCCACTCGGCTGATGTACGGACGAAGAACTCTCGTCGACTCTCGAAAGGCTGTTGTTCTGTCAGTAAAACCCTCATGATAGTGAATATGGGAAATACTTACTCTAGGATGGGGCAATCCGTCGTCCACAGAAGTGGCTGCGGTCTCAGTCTCATCATCTTCTAAGGGCGTTGAAGGCTCTGATGAAGGCTCTGATGAAGGCTCAGAAACCTCGTCTTGCTTCTTCTTCCTCTTGCTGGGTGTGTAGAGCTGCTGGCCTGTTTCTTCCTCGTCTTCCTCGTCTTCATCCTCTTCGTCCTCATCCTCATCTTCATCGTCCTCGTCATCAGACTCCTGAAACTAAAGTTAGCTAACCAGATTTCATACGCTAATTCGACATCACTTACGATCCAGTCTTCGACAGGTCGACTGAAGATCTCCTTACAACCATCCAATTTTCCAAGGTCGATGGCATAGAGATCATCAAATGTGAACTCTCGATCTCCCTTCTCAAATGTTCCGCCGTAGATATAGAGGATATCGTCTTGGATGGCCAGTTGAGCATTGAATCTCACATGCGGGGGTTCCATCGTCACTGGCATTTCCCTCGCTGGCTTGTCGTCGTCCTTTTCCTCTTCCTTCTTGGCAAGCTCAATTTCATCAGCGTCATCGAGAGAAGCTCCAGTCTCCAAAGCAGCAAGCTGTCTAAGAAGTTCGTCTTCATTGGCTTGAGCCCGACCACGGCGTCCACCTCGAGGCTCAACAGCAGCCTTCTTCTGCTGACGAGGCTTTCGTAGACCCAACGGCATGAATCGATTTCGCTCAATATTCCAAGCAAAAAGCTGATTGAAGAACTCACTATCCATACCCTCTTCACTAGCCTCAACGTCGTGCACTCCTCCAAAGAGAATGCCACGGCCCTTGTGCCAGGCCATTGTTGCACCAGCGCGTGTAGGGTTGGGAGCATTGGCAGGCTTCTTTCGCTTTTCCCAGCGAACAACCGGGGGAGTGTTGGGGTTGGCGTCAGTAGCAGGCTGCGAGATTCTGAGGAAGAAGCAGTCCTCATGAACCTTAGGGATAAGAACATTTCGCTGAGCCTGGTTAGGTCCCTTGTTGCCCTTTTGCTTGACATTGACTGTCGCCTTAACACGCGAGTAACCTCCGTAGAGAACCGCACCTTGTTCATGAGGTAGCAGAGTGAAGGATGAGCGAGCGTCTGGCTTAAGTTGGGCAGGAGGCAGTTGAGGAGAGTGCCACACAAAGTTAACGGTATCAAAGATCCAGAGATCTGATAGGTACTTTGTCTGATTTGAAGTGTCTTGGAAACCACCGAAGAGGATAATGTACTGCTTCCAGTACGTCATTCGATGACCACTTCGAGCTGAAGGGCTCTTGTCCTTGCCCTTGGTCTCAATCTTCGTCCACTCTCTCGTTGCAGGCTCCAGTCTCCAGAAATCCGAGTAGTGATGAAATGTGCCCTGCTTTGGCGAAGAGAACTCCCCGCCAAAGAGATAGACATGGTTAGGGTTTCCAGCTCTGGTCCAGGCATGGCCAGATCGAGGAAGTGGAGCGTTGGGTGAAGTTACACATCGCCACTCATCTCGATTGATGTTGTAGATATTTAAATCGTTGAAGAACTGAGCGAGAGAGCCATTGAAGTATTCACCACCAAAGAGTAGTAAAGTATTGCTATCATGGGGTGAAGCCATCAACGTGGACGCAGCTCTCGCCCTCGGAGGTGCATCAATTACCGTCTCAGTGATCTTGAGGAACTGCTCCTGTTGTCGTCGGTACTCTTCCAGCACCTCATCAAGATCAACGTCTTCAGCATCACTTCCTTCGACCTTAGCCGCCTTGTTCTTGGCCTTCTTCTCTCCTTTATTGGCCTGCTTGGCTGCTTTCTCAGCCTGATTAGGATCATCAGCCAACCGTTCAACATGTCATGATGCATGGAGGGGCAGTAATGTTAATGTTTGGAGGGGTAATTAATGGAGGGGTAAGACATAGGTATTGTAGCACAGAATATAACGGCACCTTTTTTGCCTTTTTGGCGTCAGCGTTCTTCTTCTTGTCTTTGGCCATGATGATGAAATGTATTTGGCACTGTAGAACAAGTTGCCAAGTTTGGGCTCTAATGCGAAAATTCCTGCGTGTGGATGGGGTTCCTACAGGTTTTGATCAAGTCAAATCCGACCATTCACAGGACAGTGTCAATTGTATCATGTCTACTGTATATCGATCGCTCATGTTATTGAACGTTTAGACGACACATCAAGGTTCTATTAATATCTGAGCTACACGTTAAATTAATATGTCTGCTATTTCTCCGAATAGACAATATATGGTATTAGCCGGATCAGTACAGTTGCTCCCAACAGCAATATGATCTCAGCAATGCTTTAAACTTTCAGCAACACCCTTCCTCAAATACAGACTTGTTCCATTGGTATACATAATTCCAGTGTTGATACAAGCGTGATGCGACAGCCATCTCTTTTGGAGGGTGTCCTTCACTGGCGAGCTTTTGAGTATTTCCCTGGAAGGTAAGCCACCAGGGCCTTGCTGGCGCCCTCCATACAGTATTGAACAACCTCAACTTTCCTATCAGGAGGTGCTAGTCTAGCGATTTGTCGAATATCGCTCGTCCGTGGTAGAAACAGCGCGTGATCCAGCCTGTTGTATGCGGTGTGCAAATCGTCAAGATTATACGGCTGCATGTTGTAAAGATTAAACACTTCATCAGTGCGGTATCCAGGGCCTCCCCAAGGTGGACTTGCAAACAGTACTGTTTCGTCAAGGTTTACTCTTAGATCTGGGTGCAGTTCTTCTGTGTGATTGAATAACTTGTCGAGGTACTCGAAGCTATCACCGAGAACCCACGTAATTAGCCCCGGCGCGATACCGTAGACCTTGGCGTTATTCTGGGCACAGGCCAATGTAGAAGGATCGCGTTCGATAGAGATAACGCGACTCCATCGTTCAGAAAGAGCAAAGGCAATACTGTTGCCGCCTGCACCACCAAAGACATCGATCAGGATATGCTTCTTTTGGTCGGTGCCGTACATGTCATGAGCAACTTGGCTGGACGAGAGTTAGCGGAGCTTTGATGAGGTGCAGAAATTGTATAATCACTTTGCTACTGGCTCGGGCGTTACACCGAACCAGGCATCGTCTGTCATGTAAACTCCATAGTCATATAAGGAGAAGATCGAATAGCGCTGCGCAAAATATCTAGTCATATTAGCAAGACTGAGAGACGTGAACCAGTAATTAGTTGCTCACTTTTGAATATCCCATGGTACCTCATGCTTTCCTTGATAGTGGTGGCAATCGTCAGTAAGAGGCAGCTCTTCAGCAGGCTTCATGGAGTATTCGGAGTCGTCCAGCGACATTTCTACTCCTGAACTACTCATATTTCGACCGTGAAGATAGTACGAGTGAATTTTTATTAAGCGCTAACAGCCATTCTTTGTTGAATTTGAAATACTGACTTGCCACGAGCAAGTCGAAGAGAGGTTAAAGGTTGAAATTGAGCACGAGGCTGATGATAAGCTCTCCACAGCATGCCCCACATCGAGACTAGTGGTCTTGGCACAGGCACCATAGCTGCAAGGCTGCCACTGTAATAGTGACAGCTTGCGATTGCTCGATCCGCCCTTGACATGCTACTTCCATCTGATCCAAAACTCAACACATCAGCCCCTTTCTTTTAATTCTCAGTAATAATACGCAGATACTGATCTGGAACAAAAGCCACCGAAGCAATGTTCAATGCGCTAAACCGCTTCATCTCGCGCCTGGACGGAGACGTCCAGCAGCAGAGGCAACAAGAGCGAGGCTCATTCGGTTTCCAGGTGTTGCGCAATACCAACCTGGAGCTGGCTATCGAACCCTGGTTCGACTTTATTGTTGGAATCAATGGTAGACCTATTGTAAGATCTCTCAGCCTGGATAACCTAAGCTCCTTATCGCTAATAACTAGTATAGGAGGACCCTGAACCAGCCCTGTTCAGCCAGGAAGTGAGAAACTGCGCGGGCAGCACAGTTACCCTGGGATTGTGGAACGCAAAAGTATATTTACTGAATTTGTAAATCCTAAAGTCCCCAACTGACAACAATTAGGGCCAAAGAACGAGAGAAATCCATGCTCCTGTTGCGTTAGATACTGCATCCCTCGGTCTCTCACTCCAATACGCTCCCCTTGCCCTCGCCGCCAACATCTGGCACGTTCTCGATGTCCCCGCCAATTCTCCCGCCGATGTCGCTGGTCTTCTGCCCTACAGTGACTATATCCTCGGCAGTCCTGAGGGTGCGCTATATGGCGAGGGTGGCCTGGGCGAGCTCGTCGAGGACTTTATCGGACGGCCGATGCGAATTTGGGTCTACAACAACGAATACAACGTCACCAGAGAAGTCACAATACAGCCTAGCAGGGATTGGGGTGGCCAAGGAGCGCTGGGCTGCGTGCTTGGATACGGAGCCCTCCATAGGATACCTCCTCCACTGAGTGAGCCTGTTGATGCTCCTGGCGAGACGATGTTCGATGGAGCCACCAACGAGAAGAGCCAGGACGCATTTATTCCTGCGGTAGGTGGTTCAGAGCCTGCCCCTCCTGCAGGAGATTTCTTGGTGCCTGCACAGATGATTGGCGATGCTCCAGTGAGTGCACCGCCAAGGGGAAGTGGAAAGAAGAAGGAACGTCATGGCCACAATCCCAACAGGTTGATGGACGACTACTTTAAAGAGGAGGAAGAGAAGAGTCGGGCTGTGGACAATGCACCTTCGGCTAGGAACTCGCCAGCCCCTCCCCCACCAAAAGGCGGTCCTCCAAGAGACTCACCCAAGCCGGAAACTCAGCCCAGTGGTGGTGAAGCAGAATGAGCTCATGGCGAAATAGCACATGTGAAAGATTTCCCATGATGATTGTTCTATTTCCCGATCTATTGGTCAAACTTTTAAAAGAATTTCGTGATTTGCCGTCTTTTATCGTACACTGCCTGATGGGTCCGACGTAGCCCTAAAGAGGTCCCTATTCCACCAGGACCACAGTATTCATCTAGCTGTCTAGTTAATGAAGTTGATGGCGAAGAAATGCAGGATCAAGCTGCAGACGATGTAGTCGGCGAAAGCTCTGGGGAAGGTTAGTGCTAGGTCTCCTTTAAATTCGAGTTCAACAAACCTTTCGGGGGATACTGAGGGACAATCGTTCTTGACAGCCTCATTTGTTTGAAGTCGTAGCGAAGCTGGGCATCGTTAGTCCTTATCTTTCGACATCGTTGGTCGTCGTAACATACCAGTCAAGACGAACTGTCCAACCGTCACACAGAAGCCGGACAGAAAAGCGTTGAAGGGCTAAGAAGCATTAGCAACCAATAAATGAATACATATCCACTGAGAAAGACGCACGAAGGTGCCAGCGAGGGCGCAGTTGACGAATTGGAGAACACCAACGACAACAAGGAAGACCATAAAAGCATCAACCAACTTGATGCGCTGAGGAGTATTGTTGACGTAGTGATTGTAGAGGTTCTGGACTACCTTGTCCCACTGAACTTCGCCCTTAATCTCGTTCTTGGCGATAGCGACGGGCTTGGGCTGAGGCTGAGGAGGAACTGAACCAGCGCTGGTGGTGCTGGCCTGAGTGGTAGCAGCGGCCGAGGGGGTGATGTCGCGGACGTTCTTCTTGGCCGCCATTGTTACAAATTGGAGGGGTTTGTCGGGTGGTCTGGACTGTTTGATAGGTGTGGACAGTTCTTTAAGTGTTATGAGGTTTTGGTGATGGTTGATTCGTAGTGTTTGATGTTGGTGTTGGTGGTTTTGGTTAGTTTAGTTCGAGGTGCAGTAGGAGAGCTTCCTCTGGACACGAAAGCTCCAAGGTAGATCGAATATGATTGGTTCACTAGAAGCCAAGAATCCGGGGGTCGGACCCACTTTCACCGCGAAGTGTAAGGTACGTACCTTGGATATGTCGTCAATGGCCGAGAGCTCCGCAACTTCATCTTGGACATAAAAGAACAAGTTGCTGTTTCATCTTGATAAGTTACAAAATCCATTGAATGCCCAGAAAGTAAGGATACAATCCATACAATGGTTAGTATGAGCCTCATAACAGTTGTGATCAGCTCGTTGACTAGCAAGTTTAGGCCACCGTCAATTACCACGATCTTGAGCTTCCCGCCTACATCCTCGGCGCTGTGACCGCAGGAGGCGGTATCATGGGATACGCGCGCACACGATCTGTTCCTTCGATCATTGCTGGCTGTGCTGTTGGATTCTTATGTAAGCCTCAATATTATCTCCCTTGCCTTCCCTGTAGCGTGTCAACGTGTTAACAACTTGCTTGTAGATGCTCTTGGTGGCTATCGTATTCAGAACGAGCAGCCTTATGGAGTCGAGCTTGGCCTTCTAGCCTCCGCCATTCTTGGGGGATCGGCGTTCCCCCGTGCCCTTCGTCTGAGGAAACCAGTCCCAATTCTTCTCAGTGTCATTTCAGCATTTGGACTCTTCACCTACGGTTCTGCTCTTCGAAGGAAGGCCTGAGACAGCTGTCAGATGATAATAATTTAGTCAAAGTAATGGTACGATATAATATCATCCACTCGTTCTAGATCGATGGAGTTAGCGATCTGAAGCTATTCCGACTCAGTGTGAGACATCGACATAGTGTTGTGATACGCTAAACACCAGGACCCGGATAACTCCCATCGATTGAGACACGATATGAGAAAGGGCTTGAAATACAGTTTTATTGATATGGCGTGTTGTCAAGCGACCACCACAGACTTTTGGTAGCGCTCAGATCAGGCTCTCTCATGGTAGGGAAATAGGTATTAACGGCTTCAGAGCTCGTGAAAGTTCCTACAAGGCATGAAACTCTCTTCTAATGCCTTCTACTCACAACATTCCCAAACCTCGGCCACCACGAGTCGTGCATTGTGGGCTGTCTCATTTGATGAAATACCGATGTTCTGACTCTTCAACAATGACCCGCCAAGTTTCAGGGAGAATCATGAGTTAAAGGCTAAGCTTTTTCCATGCTTAACAAATGTCTCATTCCAGAAATATTATAGTTAATTACATAGGTTGTTCTCGCATTAGGAGCATCTGAATAACAACGAAAACCTGATATAATGTTTCAGAAGGTTCTATTACGTGATGAGGCTCGACTTACAATTTGGAGAATACTAGATATTTGAAGTATCACTGAAGGGTTTATTGTAGAATTAGACTATAGATATACATTAGTTAAATGTCATATTATGCTTACCGCAACCTGATCCCACACCCAAGCTTTCATGGAATGTCGATATTGAACTTACTAAGCCTGGATGACATCCTGAAAAACGACAATGCAAGGGGATCTTTAGCATGTCATTCTAAGACATATAGACCACCGAGGTCGTTGATTTAAACTCATCTGAACTTAGTTGTCATGTCGTTAGTCGTCGTAACTTTTCTAAACACTACAAACATGAGAAGGAAGAAGACTTGCATTAGCTGCAGACCACTGGAGGCAACCGTGTAGATCTATTGACAGTAGGTAATTTGAAAATGACCATCAACCTTTTGGTAATGGAATGGATGTTATTGACAAGTGCATCTGGGGACTTTCTAAGCCCCCCCCCTTGTGGTAGCTTTTCATGAGCTGCTCATGAATGGTATATATAGCACACTCTTGGTCTCGTCTGTTGACCAGTTCTTCAACTGAAAAACAGAGGAAAGCAACGTTTGCACTCAGCTTGTTGAATCTTGAACTGCCTTGTTGAAAATGAGGTTTCATCAATCAAGGCTCGTTGCCTTAGCGGCACTGCTGCCAGCTTCATACGCATTCAGCGTTACGGCAAACACTGATGGAAACGCTCTGGCCTCTGCTATCTTTGGCAATGGTATAAGCGTCATATCAGCATCGTTTACAGGCTCATCGGACAGTTCTGGAACTTTCACTGATGGACCATTCGGCATGGGAAGCGCAGCGATCCTCACCTCGGGATCTGCTGTTGGAGCCCTTCCAAATGGAAACCACTATGTCAATAATGGTGCGGCTGGGTCAGCAATGTATTGCGGCGGCTCAAGTTACAACGCTGCGATATTGACTGTGGATATCATGCTTATTCCAGGTTCCGGAGGAATGAGATTCGAGGTTGTCATGGCTTCGGAAGAAGCAGGGTTAGTAATACTGGCCACAAAAGTGTTTTACAGTCAGCTAATAGAACTCAGGGGCGCAGCTGATGCAATTGGTATATTTGTAAACAATCAGAACTATGCTTTGGATGGCAATGGGAACAGGCTGAACGCGGTGAGCCCGTGGCTGTCGCAACCTTTGGTTATCGTACCGCCCAACAGCGTTACCTCGTACGTTGGCTCGTCACCGCCCTTCTGGATCGACGTACCATCCCTTCCCGGTGGCATGCAGACTGTGGTAATCGCCATCTGTGATGCTGGAGACAATATGTGGGACTCAGCCCTGTTGATCAAAGCTGAAGCTTGCGTTGACTGCAACGAACCTTTCCGACTTGCCTACGTGACAACCACAACTACATTGACAGCAGGCGATACGCCTTACACCTCTACTATCACCGCTTCGGGGACTGTGTCCGGAACGATCGAAATCGGGGTAACAGCAGAGGAGACCACCACCACTACCGAGGAGCCTACGACAACGACATTTGCAGACGAGACAACAACTAGCACTGAGGAGCCTACTACGTCAACTACTCAAGATGAATCAACGACAACTTCTCAGAAGACAACTACGACTGCTGAGGATACTACTATGGCAACGACTAGCAAAGAGACGACCACTGTTACCACCCCTGAGGAGACGACTACCACAACTGCCAAGGAAACAACATCCACTGCTTCAGGCACTACCACAGACACTATGGAAACATCAACTGAGGCCAGTAGCTCAGTCACTTCAGAAGAACTTCCAGACTCCACTACAACAACTGCAGATACAGCAACTGCAGATACAACAACTGCCGAATTAAGTGACACAGTTACGGAGTTTTCAGCCATCGTCGTCGAGTCCACTACTACCCCAACATTTGATACCACCACTGTACCAGCTAAAGGCTCTTCTACTGAGAGCACAACCGGCCCTGAGACGACAAGTTTGTCCGACAGCCCCATTGCCAGTACAACTACCTCTTGGGAAGAGGTTCAAGTGTCATCAACTATTTTAACAGTCCCAACATCTACCGATGAAGTCACCCTGAGCTTGAGTAGTGACATCTCGAGCGAGTCAGCAACAAGTAAGGTCTCACCGCATATATTTAATGAGCCCATATTGCCTCATTCTTTGAATTTACAGCTGCAAAGAGCCCAGTACTAACAGCGAAACTAGCCCCCATACCCAATATGGCTACAACAGAGTCTCTGGAAACAAGTGCGGTCGCAGAAACGGAGTCCTCGACGGACACAATTCCAAGTCCAGTGGAGGAGACAAGCTTTAGTGACGGTAAGACACTCACAAACGACGAGGGCGGCATCTGATATATTACCCTTAAACCAAATCTCACCCCATGTACAGAAACTGTATCTGACACCGAGCTTTCAAACAGTCATTACTTCAACTTCCCAGGACACGCCGTCTCCAGTGACATCAACATTTGCTACCTCATCTGCCGCGCCGTCCAACCTAGCAGTGATCGGAACTTTCAAGTTCTTCGGTTGCCTCGGATCTGTAGCTGGGTACCCCAGCTTTGACCTGATCGGAGAGGGACCTGATATGACCACTGCGGAGTGTGCCAGGTTAGGAGGAGGACGTGCTTATATAGGCATCTACCAGAGGTAAGTCTCGAGCCATTAATGCTGAGTTTACATGGCTCACCTTGATTAGATCCTGTTATGCAGCAGATACTTTGGACTCTGCTGAAACTGTGACCAACGGTCGCTGTGATCTGCCATGCCCTGGGGACCCGGGTCTGTTCTGTGGCGGTGTGGTTTTGACCGACTCAAGCCCTGAATCGCGCTTTCGACGTCGAGATGCTCCTCCCGGCATTTTGCTCACCCTGTATGCGCAGATTGAAGTCATCTCCAGTTCCTTGATCACTTCGGATGCTCCTAGCACATCAGAGACGTCTTCTCCCCCAGCCTCTACAGAGATCACTCTCCAACCTATCTTGACCACGGAGTCTTCCGGCTTGCCTACCAACAACCCGACAATTTCGACTTCTCCATCCTCAAGCACAGAAACATTTGCTGATTCAGTCATCAGCCTTGAGCCTTCAGTCCCTGTCACCAGATCACAAGGCGCGAGGCCGATCATCCCCCCATTCCCAACAACTGTCTCTTATAATGCAGGCAACTTCACTAGGACCGAAGCTGTGGCGCCTATAATCACCACTGTAACGTATACCATTGTTGACCCCAATGATCCGTCTTACTTGACTGTCACTGAGTATTGTACCACGTTGCGATTACCCCCTTGCCACAGATGTCAGTATCAGAAACCGCCAACGGTTGAGATGACGACTGTCGAGGTTGGTTGCAACAGGTGTGGTCACAATGGGGAGAACACCATTGTTCTCAATATTCCAGCCGGTGCAGCTGTGGCAGCTCCCACAAGGGAACATGCGGCTCACGAAACCCATAGCGTTCAACATCATGAGCCTAAACCGGATACCCAGGGGACCCGGCCCAAGAACTCTTCCCCTGCAGCCAAGGGTGGCCATGGTCAAGGGGAACTTTCTGCAGTGCCTTCGGGAGGAAACGATTATCCTGAGGCGCCCGAGCCAACGTTTTACCACAGGCCAGCTCCGGCTCATACACCGGTGGTTGTACCAGACGCTCCTATTATCATTGTCTCAGGGGGGGGAGTAAAGGCGATCGAAGGAATGTTGATGACAATTTCCTTGATGGTTGGTCTTGTTTTTCTCCTGTAGAGATTTCACTGAGTCGTCAATGCTGTGTTACTTCCTCCTTTTCTTCTTCTTCCCCTCCATATTCATGTATCTTTTTTAGAGTCATGAATATGAGGTAGATAATATTACAATAGCGTACATAATTCACAAATACAAACCGGACTGCCTACCTAGTCATAACTATTTGCGTCCTGATCGATAATTTGATCTCAAGAAGCAATCGTGATGTAGAAACATGCATCTCATGGCGACTAAGAGCAACTTGATAACTGAAGTAGGGTCGTATGATGATTAATAATTGCCCTGTCTCAATCTCATGCTTCCTTGTCATGACTTTACTGTCCAGAACGCCAGCCCAAATATTTCTAGTATACAGGTCGAATACAGTCCATCGTCCATGGATTCGCTTCGTGTCGAATTCGGAATCGTCGACATCGCATCGTGAGGTGTCTAAATTACAATCCCAGCTCCCGCTGCTGCTCCCGGATTTTGTCGCGCTTCGCCCGAGCAGCATTTCGATTCTCGGCTTGCATCTTTGATCGCTCGATCTTTAAGCATTCGTTGACCTTCTCTTTGGCGTCATTGCAGCTCCCAACAGCCTTGTGCATGAAGCCTTGGCTATGGCACTGCTCGAGGGCAGCGATGACTTCTTCGCACGCTGTAATTGAAGTTAGTGCGGAGTTGCGATACAGCGCATAATAGACTTACCTAGAGCGTTCTTTGTATGAAGATGAGGATGCATGATGATGTTGGTATATTTGACAGATTTAGACGACCCTGAAAGAAATTCCATGATCGCCACAGGCTGAGGAGATTGAATATTGGGTCGGCGGTGCACGGACCAGGCGGGAGGTTACATGGGATTATTTGGAGGGGCATTGTTTGCGTTGGCTTCTATTTCCACACAAGAGAATATCTATTGATACACAACCACCAGAGAAGCAATAGATTGAAACATTTTGCTTCCTTACAAAATGTCTTCAACGGCTCAGGTGCCTGCTAAGAAGCAGCAAGGTCAGCATTCCCCTCTGATGCATCTCACCCCGAGGCCTCTCACTTACGTTATCTAGATCTTCAAGTCACCTACTCCAACTACAAGAACACTCTTCAGCAAATAGCTCAGAGAATTGGTGATATTGAGCAAGAAGCCGAAGAGCACAAGTACGTAGTTTATTCTATACTGTTGCCCTCCCCGCCATCCAAGCAGCTTTAGCATGGCGTTGGCTTGCTCAACTTCCTCCTACATTATAGCGTCACCGAGTGTTGAACCACTGATTCTGATTTGATCTTCAACAGGCTTGTTTTGGAGACACTAGAACCCCTTTCAGAAGACAGAAAGTGTTTCCGTCTCATCAACGGTGTGCTTGTCGAGAGGACAGTCAAGGATGTAGTACCAGCGCTCAAGACCAACCAAGAAGGGCTTCGCAAGGTGCTGGATGATTTGGTGAAGCAATACAAGACGAAGCAGGATGATCTTGAGAAGTGGAAGGTAAGTCAAAAATCGGATTCATTTCAGGCGTTGGTTGAGGAGTACAGCCGATACTAACGATTCTTACAGAAGAAGAACAACGTGCAGGTTGTACAACAATAATGAGACAACGAGGATAGAATAAAACAAAATGTTTGCATTAGTGCCACAAAAGCGTTTGATTTTGAGAACTTTGAGAGAATTGCATGTTTGCAGCTTGGACATGTCATTTTTGATCTCAGCCTCATAGGATAGAGCTTACAACAACAACAGTCTGACAAATTACTCCTCAAAATCCCTTCTCTCTACACATGCCACTCCGCCAGACCTCCCGATGTTTCTGCTCCAGCCTCATTTCGACGCGGATAAGACGGACTTTCACGGCCTGCCTGCCTTCCAATGTTTGCCTTTCAGGCTGAACGAGCAACACGACGGAAGAAATGAGAAGATGGTGTTGATGCGCTGTACACTTGCTGCGCGCTGTGGGGTTATGGCGGCAAAAGCGTCTGCACGCCCAACCGCATTGAGGCCCCAGAAGCATCAGAGTTTTTGACATGCAGGACGTCAAACATACAATGCAATGTAATGCAACGCGAGACTAGATAGCGGGCATGTGGTTGTATGGACCAAAACACCCTGATTGACGAGGCTTGCCCACCGGTTGCATTAACTGACCATATCTTCGTGTCGGACCACCGTTGAAGACGGTGATACATTTTGAGGAGAAAATGAGGAAATGGCCGCATTCTCAATATGTCTGAAACTCATGATTTTTACGAGAGTTACATCATATTTAATGCCTCAACTGAAGACGTGTGCATCAAGGCGAACTGCATAAGAGTAAGAGAGCCAAAGGATGACAAAGATAGTACGATGGATGGCTGGCGTTTCCATGTGTATGCAAAGTCAATCAAAGTCACATGTCTGATTGATCTTCACCGAGATCTGAAAAGAGTCTGATCGATATGGGGCAGCATAGCCATGAACTGCAAGTCATCAGTTGCTACCTTCATTCCCACAGCTCTCCACCACCATTATCAAGAGCAACATCATCATCATAACCTTGTGGGGGCTAGTGCATTCCTCTCACGCAACAGACCGGTTGTTGACATGCAGAAGCCATGATATGTACGTCTGACTGGTTGATACTTCGCTCACGTCCCCTCTTCAAATGGAGGCCCTGCGGCACAGTGGTCGTTCCAATGCTCTATTACTGGATGCTTGTTGTCCCCTAAAAATATGACCTTTGGAACCGGCTTTAATGAGATCGAGTCCAATCAGACCAGGACAGAACTTCACCAGGTTCGTTTGTTATTGGAAAACTGTTGTCGTGTGGTTCATCTGACAACTGTCAGACCGTAATGAACAGGGTATAAGATCTTCAGGGACTCTCATCATAGCAGCACATCAATACAAGATCTCTCACTTTTTGTGGTCATACCGCCATGTCGTTTGTTAACGCATATTGCCGGCTTCACGTTGACTGTGCCAAGGGGCAGTCAGCAGGAACTTTGATGGAGGCCATCAACGATCGTTTATTCTAAACATATGCTGTAACATAAGTTCTAAAGTTGTTTGTGGCTTGGTTGGCTTGGCCGGAGTTCCCCCCAAATCCTTGGATGCGTTAGGTTCCAATCACGGGAATGCCTCAACATTTGGCATGAACGTCACGATGCTAACATTGGAAGATTGCTAAGGTTTCAGGGGCCCAAATAAGCCTTAAATAAACTAAAGTTCCAAATCAACTGTACGGAACAATGAAATAGGATGATAAGACCTCTATGAGTGGTACAATTAAGCCGTAACTGAGATGACCAACACTCCAGTTTATCGGGTCCTTGCAGGTATTAGACCATGTCGTTGGCCATGCTCTACAAGGAGGCTGAACTATCAATTGGACTGTAATTTTCGAGCTAGGCTGAGAACTCGTGGCTAAGTTGTCGGCTTGCATCTGAGGCATACTCTGCGGAAGCTTACAGGTTACGACGTACAAATGAGGCCGACAATGGGTTACCCCAACAGCTCAGCCCAAACTGAACCCTGGCGATGGAAGGATACTCATGTACAGTTTTGATGGGTGTCTTGATGAAAATGCCATTGTCAAATGAGGAATCAGAGTGCCCCCCCCCCCCCCCCCCCCCCTCTTCCGTTACCGCCCAGGTGGACTTGATCATGACCGGTCAAGTGCCTGATAGTGAGTGAGTGCCTGGACGTCATTTGAGGAGACATTGGAGATGGGGTCATATCTGCAGAGATATGTTTGTTGAAATATCCTGATCCAGCAGCACTTCAGTAGAAGGCCTCGTTGCAGCACATCTATAACAGAGCTGATATGGGGTGTAGCACCTGAATGCCTATCTCACACGTTTCCTCGGCCAGTACAGGACAGTAGGTATCACTGTAAACACGGGTTCTTTTTCGTACGATGGTCCCCCAAGCCAAGGTAGGTAAAAAAAAAAAAAAGAGTTTGCGACACACCGCCTGGGACCATGTTCTGTGTACCCATGGGGAGTGTTTGCAGCAACTTGCCTACCTACTTACCTAGACAAGCCCAGGGCTTTTGGCTTTAGCGGCTGAAGGAATCAAGGAAACGAGCAGATGGATGGTCCATCGAGCGAGTATTCCTCGTCCGGATCAGTCGGATTGATATAGCGGTGTCGAAAGGATCAATAGTTATAAAGGAACTGAAGCATCTTTTGTAAAAGATCAGCAATGTGTCTATAAGCTTTGGCATAGCTTTCTTGAGAGTGGTTGTATGGCTAATAAACTCCAGTGTGCTTCTGAGTTACCTGGGTTTGGGACCGAAAGTCCACCGCCAAAAACGGTTAGATGAATACGGCCCAGGCTGTTATCGATAACGTCCATATGGAAGCGAGCTCCAGAACAGACTGTCCTATAGCCTACTAGGTAGGTTAGCAGGGAAAAGAAGCAAATGGGGGCCAGGGTCAAAAAGTTAACAGTGCGGGTTTTAGTTAGTTTGTTGCTGGGGCCCGGCGCGCCTTAGGCTTTCAGCCTTGGCCCTGCCTGGGTTTGTTGTTGGCGTGTCATGGAAACGAAACATCTAACCTCATTTCCACTTCCATCCACCACAAACAAAAGCTGACCAAGTTTCTTTACCTTACCAAAATTGATCAACCCAACTCGACTAATTGGATCGCGTCTTGACCGCATATTCCATACTGACCATCTTATCATCTCGCTTGCTTAATAGCAGCAGCAATCAATCAATTGTAAGTCTCTTTTCCAGAAAAGAACCCCACGCCCGCTGCTGCACTCCACATATGCACCTCAACTGCGACCACAAGCGAACAACTCAGACACCCTCTCGCTCGCTGCTCCTCGCACTCTCACTCACTCTAGCCTCGCCTCCATCGCCACTGAGCTCTTTGCTTTCCCCTGTTGGCGAACCCCATCGCGCTCCATCATCAATCAGTCATCGAATCTACACACGCCCCAGCCCCGTCCCGTCCTGTCCTGGTCCTCTTTGGCCTCCTGAGCTATTGTCTTCTGACTCTGGATCTGACGCGATTTGGTAGAACCCCCGCGGCACATT